TAGTTGATATCATTCTGTAATAAATAGGTTAAGATCGAATTATGTCATGCAAAAGCAGAGAAGGGAGAATACACCAGGCCCTGCTGAGAAGGCTGCTTTGTGGCTAAGACAGTTGAGTGCCCCAGCATCCCCAGGCTCTGTATGTCAGGCCTAGACCTCCTTTCAGGCATGGTCATTTCTGGCCCTTTCTCTGATCTGTAGTGCGCTCTTGTAGACCGTGTTCCCATTCAGCATGTTTCCTGAAGACACGATGGGGTTGGAGGAGACCATGTTCCTTCTCCTTCCTCTGCCATCAGCAACACCTCCCTTAGCAGCTGACACTCCTCACAGGATCAGCTTCCACCAGGTAGGTCAGCTAGTGATGCAACCCCTGCCCAGGGACCTTGCATCCTTCTCTTCCCATCCTTTCTATTTTGAGACAGGGTCTCCTGTAGCCCAGGCTGGCCTCATGCTCACTACATAGCTGAGGATGACCTTGAACTTCTGACCTTCTTGCTCCCACCTCCTGAGTACTACTGTTATGTGTGTGTGTCATTGCTCCCGGTTTATGTGGTGCTTAGGGCTTTGTCATGATGAGCAAGCACTCTACCACAAAAACCTCCAGCCCCAGGTTTTTGACCTTAGGTCCTAGTAGTGGTCCTGGTAAGCGTTTGCTCCTTTGGCATCTGTTGGGGGGCCCTCACACCCCATTTGGTTTCCCAACTTGGCTGTCATCATCGTCTCTGAAAACACTTCTTGCATTAAAGTGTCTACCCTTGGAACGTTTGAAGGGGATTTTCCTGCCCGTAGTAAAACTCAACCAATATTTTTAAAAAGAGTTAGGCACTCAGTCTTAAGTTGAAGGTATTGCACACAAGTCAAAGAGATGGAAATTCTGCCAGAGATGTGAGACCTGAGAGGACTAGGACTCCCTGGTCCCCCGAGCATGCACTATAATAAGGGGCAGCAGCATGTAAAAGGGCAGCTATTCCCATTGGAAAAGGTAGCTGGCGTGCATCCTAGGCGAGCGGGGGTGCTTCAGCCCCTCTTCCCCAGCTGTGGCTTTGAAGGGTCAAAGGCAGCATAGTTTCATTCTTGTTCAGGAAGACGTGGCTAGTGTGTGTTACCATATCTTCCAAATAGAACTCCGCCTTACACATGCCTTCTTCCCTCAACACTTGCCTGTTGGCTACAATGGGTGTTCGCACATCTTTTGGGCTTGGTCATTGGTCTATCTTAGCCTGACAGAAGAGTTTGTTTCACCCTAAACTAGGAGGTGGATGCAGTAAACAGATGAGATTGAGAATGGCTCCCTGTGGGCAGCAGGTGGCGGGTCAGGTCTCAGGGAGGGATGTGGGCAAAGCTGTGCATGGAAACAGCATGCAGAAAAGGCTTAAACATTTTGTGACTTACATTTTTTTCCCGACAGGAAAGCCTTGATTCTCCTTTGTGAAGTCCCCGCACTCCCATTCCCAGCCCCCACGGTTTATAACATTAACCCAAGCTCTGTCTGCAGAGGTAGATATTGGTTCCGATCTGATGAGCACAGTTATTCAGCAAAGGGCATATGTCCTAATCCATCAGTGGGAGGCCAAGGTAGGTGCTTTGCCAGAGGAGCATTCTCACTTGTGGTGCTGGACCTGGAGCTGTGAGGATGCACGTCTGGAGCCTCTAGCAGCCCTGGGAGAAGCATAGCCTGAGGCCAAAGCAGAGCCACAGGGAAGAGAGGAGAGAGACAGAGACACACCTGCTGGGTGGCAGTGTGGGCAGCGTGAGTGCTGGCCAGCCGTGCCCAGCCCAGGACGATCATCTAGAAATCCAGTTGTGGCACGCAGTAAACTCCTTTCCCTAAGTCCGTTGAGATGTGTTTTCTTTCCCCATAAGAAGTGGCCGCACACTTACGCAGAATCTTGTAGCTATCATTCCTCCTTTCAGCTCCTCTCCCCGGAAGATTCACAACCGTTTATAAAATGCATCTATAGATTCGCGCACATTTTGGCATGAAAGAGCATTTAAATTTGGTAAAAAGGGAACTTAAAATACTACTTGTGTAAATACAACCCCTCTGTTAATATCACTGTATGCAGGCCAGGAATGACAGCACTTTGTTTTAAAACTCTAAAGTCACTATGTTCTCTTAATTTCCAGGAAATACAGGGTGTTAGATGCTGTCGCTGTGAACCAAACTGATCCTACTTGTATATCATCAACTTTAGGAATGATGTTTAAAAGGTTTTTTAAAACAAAACCAAATAAAAAGGTCTGGGGATGTATGTAGCTCAGTTGGTAGAGGAGCTAGCATGTACAAGGTCTTGGGCTCGATCCCCAGCACCTAATAAAACTAGGCCTGGTGATGCATTCCTGTAACTCCAGCACTGGGTGGGTGGAAGCAGGAAGATCTGAAATTCAAGGTTCAAGGTTATCCTCTGCTACATAGCATCTCCAAGCCAACCTGGGCTATAGACCGTATATAGAATAGAGTGAAATAGAAAAGAAATGCATCAAAATATCTTACATAGATGTTTAAAACTTAACACTCATTAATGTACACCGAGTGGGGTTTACCATTGAATGTGATGGCAAACTTCAATCATTGCATTGACTGGACTGAGAAATTTCTAGAACATTAACAAACCTAAGGATGCTCTAGGCAGGATTAGCTAAGGAAGAAGACTCATTTTGAATGTGGGTGGTACCATCCCAAGGGCTCGAACTGAGGGTCAGCACTCTCTTCCTGGGTTCCCTGGTTGCCCTGACGTGAGCTGCTGTGCTCACTAGCACTCCCTCCAGGAGAGACTGAAACGTCTGGCACAGTGGGTTTGGCAAAGCCTACGCTTTCGTGTTTTCTCAGGTATTTTATCGCAGTGATGGGAAGTCTGCTGAATACAAACTAATGCTGTTCTCCTCCCTGGTAGGCAGAGGTTTTCTTGATGAGATTCTGTGATCTTAGAGGAAAATGAGCAACAAGTGCTGCCTCCCAGATGACGCTCAGGCTTGATGAGTGGTCAGTGGCCTGTTCATCGACATGCCTGTTTGTCTGTACTGTTTCCTGGGTTACATTTGACGAATTCTTGCCTTTGACTCAACTTCAAAGGAGCTGGCTGCTTTGTTCCATAAAGCTGACTGGCAACCTGAAAATTTTCTAAAGGTTAAATGATCAACGATTTCTTCATTTTATTTTTATATTTTATTGCTTTTTAAAATTTTTATGTGTATGAGTGTATGGCCTGCATGTACGTATGTTGTACCCATGTCATGCAATGCCCACGGAGGTCAGAAGAGGGCGTTGGATCTCCTGGAACTGGAGTTTCGGATGGTTGTTAACCACCATGTGAGAGCTAGGATTTGAACCTGGGTTCTCTGCAAGAACTACCAGTGCTAACAGCCGGGCCAGCTCTCCAGCCTGATTTCTTCACTTTAAAGGAGGATGGTATTGAATCTTTTCAGTTGACTGCTTAGCTTTTTAAAATAACTAGTGCCACAGAGTGCTCGAGTTGGAATGCTTTCTTTTGGCTTCAACACCCCCCTCCAACACATACCTTTTTTGGGTGATGAAACACAGTTCCATAAATATAAAAGGGCAATTGTGGATAAATGATGAAACTCTCGCCCTGTCTGCAGACCATCACAGGAAGGCTCTGCTGGCCGCCATTTGTTTGGGTGATGAAACACAGTTCCATAAATATAAAAGGGCAATTGTGGATAAAATGATGAAACTCTTGCCCTGTCTGCAGACCATCACAGGAAGGCTCTGCTGGCTGCCATTTACATTTGCCTCTACAGTTCTCTTGCTCTTCAGACCCCCTTCTGGGGTTATGCACTGGAGTTCAGAGATAAGTTTAGCATTGCAGATTTCCTTCTCTTTCGTGTATACCTATATTTTCCATTTTTAAGGATATTGATTTTGTTTCCCATTCACTCTTCCAGGTTCTTAGGGACAGGCCTATAGAAAATACCAATTTTACTGCTGCTCCATTGATAATGCTAATAAAAACAGCAATAGCTTACACTTCTGTTTTTGGCAGAGGGGACAGTGGCACAGCACAGGCACTTAGTGGGGAACGTGAACTGGGAACGGTTCCTTTTGTCTGCCACAAAGACCCACCCTTCTTGCCACCTCTTGGTTCTCAAAAAGGCTGGATAAGCATGCATAGTCAGGTGGTTCTCACAGCCTGGGCTGACCAAACATCACACATCAGGCCAGGGCAGAGGCCAGAGTGCCTGAGAATTAGTCAGTGTACCCCCAGCAGTTGGTAGGCATTAGGCATATACAATTTTATTTTTTTATTTTTATCTTATGCATCTTATGTATGTGCTTGCATGTGTGTGTGTGTTGATATGTATCTGGGTTCTCATGAACATGTGTGTGTTCACACAACAGGCCAGAAGATGACCTCAGACATCATCCTTGGGAACCTTGTTCACTTCTTTTGAAACAGGATCTCTCACGGCCTGGAGCTCTCCAGTTAGGTTAGACTGACTGGGTCTGCCTCCCAGAGCAAGGATTACAAGTGTGCACCAGCAGGCTTAGCTTTTCAGGTGGCTGCTGGGACTGAACTTGGGTCCTCATGCCCGCACAGCTTGCTTTACTGAGTGAATTGCCTCCACAGCCCCACATGTAAAATTCCAACATCAGCTTTCTAAGTGAGCAAAACACCACCGAGAAGAGGTGAGCCATCGTTGTACTTCTGCCAGAAGCTCTCTGCAGAATAAAGTCACGCGGGAGCTGGCGGGTCAGCTCAGAAGTCACCAGACACGCGCTCTTGCAAAGGACCCCAGTTTGTTTCCCACATCACCTGTCATTCCAGCTCCAGGATCCTCTGGCTTCAGCAGACACCTGCGCTCAGGTGCATGTGTGCACACACATACACGCCCACAATTTCAAAACAGAAATCTTGAAAGCAAAGATGAGCTTGTGTGTAGGTAGGCCATAGCTATTAACATTAGTTCTCAACTATAATGCTGTGACATTATCATTGCAAAGTGTGACTTCGTACAAAAAAACCACTTCTGAATTTTTTTAAAACCATTTTTTTTAACACATGGAATTACACGCAATACAAAATACTTGTTTTACAAGTTGCAACTTTACAATCATGGGTTCAGTTACAGTAACACAGGTAATATTAGTGCATTCACTCAGAGCATGGTTATTTATCTTCATTGGACTGAACACAAAGCCAAGAATGAATCATTTGCTTACATTGCTTTCTAGTCTTTGAATTAAAAAGGAAGAAAGAAAAATTATGCCTATGTCCTCTGTTATATGTCAGGATGATAAACAATGTCAACAATTAAGTAGTCTGGCATGTCTATAAACGGGAGATCGTATCCCAATAGCTCTTAAGTTGTAAATCCTAAGGCTCTTTCTAAATTTGTCTATCAAATTGTCGTTATCTCAGCTTTCAGGAAGATTACATCATCTTTGGTAATCGGCTGCCAACAAACAGAAACTATAGATTACAGCATTTTCCCAAAGAATCCTGCATTTCAGTGAATAGCTGAATAAATAGACATTAATTAGGAAATTCACATTAAGATAGAAGAAAATTCAAACATTCTGATTGCTTTACCTCTCCCATTGGATAGCTACCACTAATTGTACTATTTGTGTTAGGGTGAAAATAAGCTGGATAACAGGACTGTAACTGAGAAGGGTTGGCAGATATGTACAGTAACCCGGGGAGCCATAAAATAAACGTGTTTATATGTACATTATTCTTCCTCTTTTTGCATGGAGAAACACTGCTTCATAAGATGGGAAGCACACAGCAGGCCACATGCAGCAAGGACTTACACAATGCGCAGAACAACTGGAAAAACCGAGACTAGGTGCTTAACAAAGCACTTAGAACGGGGAGGCAAGGAAAGCAACGAAAGCCAGGAAGGACTTGAAACCTGGAATGCTTCTGTATTGAAGTTTCAGAATAGAAATTTGTTTAACAAGCTCTTGATAGTTTTTAAAAGTTCCCACTCGATCACCTATGGTTTAAGTGTAGAGCTAAAAATAAACCATCACATTGTACAAAACTTTGTATACCAGCATACAAAAGGTAACAATTTACTTTTTGTATAAAATATAACCTTTCGATAGTATATTTATTTCACATATGTATAAATATAACCAAAAGAATATGTTTTAAGTATTTCTACCAAAATATTCTTTACAAAAGTTTACAAAACAATTTATTTATATTTACAAATCAGCACAGAAGAGATTCTGGGCTTGTGATGTTGGTGTGGTGGAGAGGAAGGAGACAGCCTTCAAGACATCTTAAAGACTGGAAGAGGGCTTTGCAGAGCTTTAAAAACGTGTTCTGTTTTGAACAGATATGTAAAGATTTGGTGCTTACAAGATTTCAGTTAAATCACATTTGATACTTGAACATGTGAAAGCTGAGGGTAACCTTTACTTCTCTGGATTTAGGAAAATGGTAGTGATATGTTTCTGTAGCCACCTCAAACCTGCACATCTCCATTTTACAGTTCCTGTGTATGTGGGTACTGAGGTCAAATGACACAACAAAAACCCATTCTTTGCCAGTGCTGGACCCTGAGAGGGACAACCTGGACATGAAGGGCCCAGGTAGCACACGTGGCAAGGATCCCTTGGATCAGGAATACGGTGACTAGACGGCTACTTCTGGGCCACATTTGGCTCAGCTGTTTACCCAAGTCCTACGTCCAAGGAAAGCTGTGTTGCTTCTCTCAGAGAAGCTTTCCTCCAAATTCTGTGAAATAGTCAGGCTGCTCACACCCTCCCCTCCTGTTTCTTACTGTCAATCAAAATGTGTTACTCTCTAATCTCACTTTTGGTGCCCCAACTTTCTTTTCTTACAAATCAGTCTCTGGTTACCAAAATAGCAGGAGGACAAGGCTCAGTTTCACTGCACTTGGGGACAAACCAGTGTGTACCAATGACACTAGTAACACCTCAGTTGTTTGAGGCCAAGTATGTCTCCTATACAGCAATACAGTTTTCTGAAGTGAAATTTGATGCAGGCAGCTGTGCACCAATATATTTCAGTATGATCAGCACAAGTCTTGGTTTTGTACAAAAACTGGTTGGGAAGCCTAGTTAAATCACAAGCTCTGCATTCTTGTTTTATCACTAGACATAGCATCCCACTAAAATACAGAACGTGTGGGAAAATTGCAAAAATGAGGGCTGGATCTAGGAAGAAATTCTATAATTTTTTTATAGCGTCTCAGATCTCTGCTTTCCTTGCTTAGAACATTGGTTACTCCAAACAAGCTTAGAACATTTTGTTCTTTCCTGCAAACTTAGGACATTTAAACGGAAAGACAGTGGAAAAGTCAAACCATGTATATCCACTGGAGCAGATTAAGGGATCTGTTGCCTATTGCTTAGCACAAATACCTGTTCATGACATGGGGTTTAAACAAGCCTCAAGTTCCATTACATTTCTTTCAGCAAGAAAAGGAACTTGGGAAGCTATTTTACACAGTTAATTACACATCAGCATCACAGTTCTGTTTGGATAACTGGATAACATGTCCTGAACCTCAGACGGGGAAAAATGATCCCAATGTTTTGCTTTCAGGTTTGAACATTTTCAACAATATCTGAATGGATATGTTCACGGTGCATTTACAGCCTGCTTTCCGCCTTGAAGCCTGTAGTCCACCTGGAAGTCAACAGTCTGGCATTAACAGAGTCCTTGTGAAATACTGCCTCTCTCAGTGCGCCGTGTCTGCCAACTGGCTTCCCTTTCTCCTTAGGAGTTGCTCCCCAAGATTTCATCGAGGTTGATGTCTTTCATCCAGTCATCATTGCCAGGCTCTGTCTTCAATAAAGAATCAATGAAATCAGCATCACTGTTTAGGGCTGGGCCCATGCTGTCTGTCTGTTGGTTGAGGAAGTCAAAAGCTAAGTCGCTGCCATGATCAGTTCCTTGAAAAGCCCTGGAACTTTGGTTGGGTGGAGGAAAAGCGCTGGGTGTCAGGGATGGTGGCTGGCTGATGCCTGTCCTCGGCTGATTCAACCCTGTTCCTGACGGGTTCAGATTAGACAGGCTCTGTGTGCTCACCTGGCTGGGTCTGAGGTTCAATCCCCTGAGTGGACCCAGGGCTTGCCCATTTAATGTCTCATTTACTTGGGTCATAGGTCTCATTTGTACTGCTGGTGTTAATTGGTTAGGGGGCGCCACTGCCCTCTGGGAAAATGGCTGGCTCCCCACTCCCGGCTGCAACGACTGGTTCGGGGTGTAGGCTGCAGGTGCACCTGCCGCGGGGAAGCGCACTCCTGTGGACTTCAGGGGCTCCTGCTGCTTTGTTGCTCCTTCTTGAGAGGCCCAGTTTGGTGCTGTTGTGGTGGATGTGATCATGACAGTCGGGGACCGCTGGGCTGGCATGCCTGGCATACTGTGGGTCAAATTCGGTCTTAGTTGTTGGGAACTGCCAACAGATCCAGCTCCAAAGGTGGCCACGTTGTTATTGTTATTTGGCCCTAAGGAAGATGGCCTGGACATCAGAGAGTTGCTTTGATTGGTTATCAGTTGAGTTGCATTTCTCTGTTGGCTCAGCTGGTTCATTGCTGAGGTGACGCTGTACGAGCTGGGCTGGTTACAAGGCAGGTTTCTATACATCCCTACGTTCTGAACTGCTGATAACGACTGCGTTCTCGTCCCATGGGAAGTGGACATGAGGCTGGAATTTGGAGTTAAAATGGCGTGTGTTGAAGCTGGGTTTGTCAAAGCCTGATTAGAGTTTAGAGTCACTGTGGAAGAGCCGCCTAAGAAAGATCAGAGAATTGTATTCATTTCCAACAGCACAGCACTCCACATCTACCTCAGCTTGCGAGAGCTTATCAAATCGCTGCAACTGCTTTCATGTGCAAGAACAATTTGGACAAATAATTACCAAGCATATTATGTAAAAGGAACAAGACAAAATTTGAAGGAGATATCGCCCTAGGCCACTCCTCGGTTAAGGGTGTCCACAGTGTAGAAGACTGAAGGAGAGTGGTTCTCTTTTATTGTTTTTACATTGTCTTCTGAAGTCACTGAGGGGATAGTTAATATATCATTTCGAATGAGTTTTATTATGTTACAATTCCAAAGACTACAACTTTGATTAGCTAGCTCTCATGAAATCTGTGTTACTGTTCACCCCAGGGTCCAAGAGAGAATGTGGATAAATCCTGGCTCCTACACTAATGTTCCTGAGCTGCGGCCTAGAAAATCATGTCTCATTCTTTATCAGCATCGTCCTCATTCAAGAATCTGCTACAAGTGGCTCCCCTGCATCCACAGGGCAAAGACTCATCTCTAGAGGCACCTGCAATGTGATGTCGTCTGCCCTTGGTGGTGATTTCCACAAGGAAAGCCTTCTGCTGTAGGGCATGCAGTTGTGATTACATTGCTCTTGCACACACCATGAGCTCACCTCTCTTCCTCTCACATGGTGCCCTTTCACCTCCTTGAATTCACTTACACTTTCTTCAAGCTCCAGGCCAAGGGCCTGTGGAGTATTCCCTAATCCCCGCCTCACATCCCTGCAGCTGGTTCCTCCTTGACTCCTCCATGGAGCACTTAGGCAATCCACCAAGCCTCACAGGGCCTGCCAGTCCAACTGATGTCAGTCAACAACTGACTGGGTCTCAGGCTGCTGAGCGAGATGTGAGAGTGACAGCAATATTCCTGACTTAGGAGGTTAAAGTTGGCGCGAGAAAACATCTTTAGATGCACAAAGAGTGCCAGGAAGAGGGAAAGCTGCTCTGGATGGTGGAGTCCATAATGGATGTTATTCACACCTGGTTTGTTCCTTGTCATAGTGCCTGAGTCTAGTGGATGACACAGAGTTGGTGTTCAATTGGATTCTGAATGACTAAATGAAAGAGACTGATGGAAAGGCAAAGCTCAGACAAAGACACCCTCATCTGGGTATCCTTAATGAAGAAGGGTGGGCCCAGAGGCCCGGAAACACTGTGAATCAGAGCCCCACATGTGTGAAGTAGTTATGTGAAGTGTGTGCCCACGATCGAACCCTTAGGACATTCCCTGATGACTGAAGAGATGATGTGGAATTGCATGATGTGGAACCTGCAGGAACGAAGGCCAAACCAGCACGACTGTGCTGCTTTTTACTTCAAAGTGTGTTTCCACCTAGACCACCAATTTCTTTAGGGCAGGAAGAGTCCCTGTACCCTTCACGTCCTTCACAGGGATCCAGCACTGCGCAGTGTACAGGAACTCTTTGATAAAGTGGGATCTGAGCCAGGCAGGAAATACTTGAACAGTAACTGAGAGTTCATACAATACTATGACTTTAAGCAATGGCATCTTTATAGCTGAGGGTTCTATGGCATGAGCATTTGTAGTATGCAAGTATTATGGGGAAAAATTCACAAGTTATAGGTTGGGAGGATGCAGTTCAATGAAAGGCACTTGCCCAGCATGAGCAAGACCCTGGGCTCAATCCCCACCCCCAAATAAGTACCAATTTAGGTGTCTTAGATTTTAAATATCTATTTATTTTATGTGTAAAAGTGTTTGCCCACATATGTATGTACCTCACACATGTGGAGTGTCCAGAGAGGCCAGAAGAGAGCATCAGATCCCCTAGTACTGGAGTTTCAGATGGTTGTGAGCCATCATGTGGGTGCTGAGAACTCAACTTGGGTCTTCTGCAAGAACAGTCAGTGCTCTTAACCACTGAGCCATCTCTCCAGCCCCAGGAATCTTATTATTTTTTTAGTAATATACCCCCAGGCAAATTTATGGGGGAAAGCAGTGTTTATTTTTACATTTTAAATCTTATTTACTTTGTGTGAATGTGTGTGTTAATATGTGTGTGGGCATGTGTACACCACCTCACTCATACATGTGGAAGTCAGAGAACAAAGTGTTGGGAGTTGGTTCTGTCTTTCTACCATGTGGGTCCCAAGAAACAAATTGTCGGGTTTGGCGGCAAGCTCCTTTATCCACTGAGTCATCTTACCAGCCTGGAAAACAGTATTTCTGAAGAACCAGAGGAGAGAGAATTTGCATAAAGATCATGAAATAATGACAGTCAAGATTAGAAGCTTCTGACATGTGAGATAGAAATGGTTTCAGGTTCTTCTCTGTCCTTAACTTCTAATTAGTGCAGGGATCACTACTGCACTGATGTTAAAATTTAAAAAATATATAAAAGAGTTTGCTTTGTTTTCTGCTGCTTGTTTTACTCCCAGAAGGCTCCATGAAGTCAGTCTCCAGAGACCTGACTTAGTCAGCAGTTGGATGCAACAGGTGGCTCAGAAAAAAATGCACGTCTGCTCTTTGGAGGGGCTGCTGGGTGCCTCTTCACATCCCTCCTCCATGACTTCCTCTAAAACAGCCTTTATTTTGCAACAGTGTTCAGTCAGTAAAGCACACATCTCAAATTTCCTCCTGCTGTGCAGCGTGCAGAGACACTTCTGACTAGAAAAAGAAGTGAGTGGGCTGGAGTCCCCTGAGCTTGGTTCGGGCTACTTTACCTCACCCCTCATGTCTTCCTGCCTGCAAGGAAGGCTGTTAAAGGGACGGTAAAAGGGAACCACACGCTGAGTAAGCAGAGAGAAAGAAGCCTGGGTTCCTGCCCGAATCGGCACCAAATCAGCTCTGCACCCTCTACACTGCTATCGGTCAGATTCTCGTTGCAAAAATGTTGCAAAAAACATTCTCTGAAATGTTCTAGGGTGTTTCAAAGGTTCCCAGCTTCTCTTCTTGGACAGACAGAGAAGGAAAGAAAAGAATAGCTGAGAAACCAGAGAGGCCAGCTTAAAGTAACACGGAAAATACAGACTTCTGGGCAGAAGAGATTGGGATAGGGGCTGAAAGGCAGACGGACATGGTGACTGGGTCTGGGGAGTTCTTTTGGAGTTCAAGGAGCGGGAGGAGAGAGATTTTTATAGGGAATGCATACTACCTATTTCATATGGAGAAAGAGAGAGATTAAAGAGTTTTGCTTTGTGGGACTAGAGAGATGACTCAGTGGCTGTTCTTGCAGAAGACCTGGGTTCGAATCACAACACCCACATGGAAGCTAACAACTGTCTGTAACTTGAGTTCCAGGGGATCTGATGCCTTCTTCTGCCTTCCATGGGCACTGCATGACACAGGTGTATTTATGCACATGTAGGCAAT